TGCCCAGCGAGGGATGTCTTTATCAGTACGTATGCAGACGAGAATTCGCTTCGCTGGGTAATGTGGTGGCAGCGCTCTGGCACCCAACCCCAAGGTGGACCCGTTTTTCAGGCTACCAAGGTCTCGAGGGAGATTCTTATGTTTCAGATGGCTGTAGTGGACATCGTCATTGGGGATGTGGCCAAAACTCTCCATGACATGGAGGAGACCAACTGCAAGCTGCCTGCACGCTTGGAGCACTTGCAGTCAGAATGGCGCAAACGGAAGGAGTCCGTGGGTGATTGGGCTGCCTACTACCGTTGCATTGGCTCCGCTCAGCCCAGCTTTCCGAGCACAGCCGAGTGGATTGCCAGTTGCGTCAGCCGAGCATCAGTGAAGGGCCCGAAGTATGGCTCCGGTGGTGGCAAAGGCGAGAAGGGCAAAGGCAAGGGTAAGGGCAAGGGCAAATTTTGAGGGAAGCGCGCAGCGCTCCGGCTTCTGAAGAAGCCTGACCGGCAAGTGTACAGTGTACAGTGCTTTGGGCTCTGCCAACCCATGGTCAGTCCCTGAAGTTTTGTCGTCTCTTTGAGATATTGACTTTGCTCATACAGCTTGTGCGAGAGATGTCGTGATTCCAGGAACTTGAAGGTTGAAGGGTTCAACACGGAACGAACCCACTCGCGTCCACCAGGTTTCCGCCTGGTGGACCGCTTGGCTGCCCCCTCAGTCCTGTCACCCTGCGGTCTCAAGTGCTTCCTGAGTGCATGTGACTCGCCGGATGCTGAAGGCCCTCAGGGCCTGTCGGAGACTGCTGTGATTTTCAAAAAGTTGGGCACCCAGTGCCAGCTCTACATTCGCCTCTGTGGATTCGGGGCGCCACGCAACGCCTCGTTGTGCTGCCGTGACTCGCAGATCATGCTTCTCCGATACTTCGTTGTCGAGGCTGGTATGCATTGTCTAGAAGGGATTCGTTGAGCTTCCTGTTGCCCGAGCACATCAATGTGTGCAAATTGGTTTGCCAGGCGCTTGGAAGCTCTGCATGACTGTGGCAAGGGGCTCACGGGTTGCCTGCCACAGAGCCCTGAGCCCTGAGCACCGCTCCCAGGTCTGTCAGAGAAGCGTGGTAGCACACGGCCCGGCCCCGGCCCCACCCAGGCCCTGGGAAAGCGGAAGTCCTACAACGATGATAAGGGTTGTGAGACATGCATTGGCCATGCCAGTGTGGGGATGCTGCTGCTGGTGATGGTGATGATGACAATCAAAGTAGTAGAGATAGTCATCAGTCCCAGAGCGTCTTCACAGGTCAGCCAGTTGCAACCATGATGACGTCTAAACCGCTACGAGCAACAGCAAACACTCATCGCACTGATGGTAGTGGATGTGGTCGCGGTAGTGTGAAGACCCGTGGTAGGTCATGAGCACAGCGACTGCAAAGGAGGCTACTTGGACGCAGTTGCTTTCGGTCGCACTGGGTCTCCGGGCGCTGCACGCTTCTGAACTTCTGGGGGTTCTCTTCTGGGGTGGCGTTGCTCTCGAGCAGGAAAGTATTGGCAAGCCGCTGACAAAATCTTTCATTAACGGCCGTAGAGCGCAGGACCCAGACCTTTGTTCGCTCGCACGGTCGTCGGTTGCGCACTTAGCTTCTGGAGTGCCGAAGATCCGAATCAGCCGCTGATGAACGTCCATGCATGGAAGTTATGCCAAAATTAACTTCAGCAGTCGCCACTCAAAAGCCGTTCACCATATTCATCTCTCTGAATGCTCCGAGGCTCGGAAGTTTTTCTGATGCCTGGGTTTCGTGCATACGATGAGCAGCACTAGGAGCAATCGACCACGACCCCCGCCCCCCAACCCTCCCCTCCCCTCCCCCTCCAAGAAAAGCAATGCAGGAGCACTAGGCCTAGGCCTAGGCCAGCGTGGCCCCTAATGACCTGCTTGGAGTTCTGCGGGGAAAAGAGCCCAAAGAGATTTGTGCCAGCAGAATTGACCTGGCTGCGGACTTGCGAGACCGGCTCTTGCAACCCCGTTGTGTTGCAGCGTTGAAGTGAACTCATCCATCTGCTTAGCTGTGCAAAGCCAGCCTTGCCCCGACAATGTCGCAGCCGAAGATCTCGTTGACGTACTTCAACATTGAGGCGGCAGCTGAGAAAGTTCGCCTTGCGCTGGTAATGACCGGCACGGAGTTTGAGGACAAGCGCGTGAACTTCGAGGAATGGGGGGCCATGAAAGCCAGCACGCCCTATGGTCAACTGCCAGTCATGACAGTCACATATCCGGACGGTGCAGTCAAGAGCTTCGCCCAGAGTGTGGCCATGATGCGCTGGGTGGCCCGCAAGTTTGACACAACAGACACTCTGTACCCGGCTGATGCCGATAAGATGCTGGAGATCGAGGAGGTCATTGGTTTGTCTGATGACATGACTAAAGCCTGGCAGCCAGCCCTGTACATGGGAATGGGCCGTCACGCGAACTACGGACATCCGCAGGAATGGCCGGAGGCGAAGGACTGCGTCAAGAAGCTCCGCGAGACTTTTATCGCAGAGCACTTGCCAAAGTTTATGGGCTTCTTCTCTCAGAAGCTTGAAGCCACTGGTGCATTCTTCTGCGGAGACAAGCCAACAATTGCAGACTTGCAGATTTTGGCTCAGCTCCGATACTTTACCAAAGGTGTCGCTGATCATGTCCCGGCAGACTGCTTGACTCCATACCCAGCCGTGACCAGCTGGATGGACCGGATGCATGCTGTTCCGCAGATCAAGGCTTGGTACCAGCTTTGAGGCTTCTGGCAGCCGTGTGTGTTGCCTCGCCACAGAGTTAGGGCCTGGTTTAGTACCGATCAACCTGCACTGCGTCAAGTTGATCAAAAGTGCCGAAGTTCGTGAGGTGCCCCAAGCATAGGAGGATAGACTGCGCCATGCAAGCAGAAAGGCACAGAACAAACTTTCAATCGCGTGAGGGCTCATAGCCACTGGGTCTGGCAAACGCCGGGGGCCGGGGTCGCACCATGATCCTCACAGCATCCCGGCCGCAACTGTTCTGTCCTGTGCCGAATCAACCCACAGCCTCTTAAATGTCAAAAGTTCGCCTGTGTGCCCAGGAGGAGGTGGCGAAGTTATTCAGCGGCTTACAAAAGGCCGGATGCAGTAATGCGTTGCGACATCGCGAGACAGCAACCTGCACTCATGTATATGAGGGTCCGTTCCTGGCCCCCGCATGAACGTTGTCGTCAAGCCAGATGTAAACCCCTGGTAGTACGTACCCTTACGGTACCCTCGCAACCTGTCTTTGTTCAGTGGATGGTCTTTGTCCGGTTATTTTCGGGGCTGCAGAAGAGCGATTGACTTGATAACGCAAGGCTTTGCGCGATGCAGAAGCCGACCTTAAGGACTAGGGCCTGCAAGAGCCCACAGTGCTCGTGATGATGCCGAAGCCAAGTGAAGAGGAATCCGATCAGGGATGTTTGGCCTGCAGGAGCTTGCAAGCTCCCAGCAAACGAAGCTGGAGAAGGCGCTCTCCGAGGCCTCGGCGAAAAAAGCTTTGCCTTTCCTGCTCTGAGAGACTCACAGAGCCAGGCGGAAGAGTCCCGGGACGAGGTGGATAGGCAAAGGACCAAGCTCGAGGAGATTCCAACTAAGCAATCAAAGCCAGCCTCCTCCGAGCCCCCTGGATCATGAAGGGCTTCGACGCAGACCGAGCTTTGAGTATCGCTGCCTGTTGGCTTACAGCTGCATGTTCTTGCAGTTCGTACACCTAGACTCCTAGACAGGGAGACGATGTGGCAAGTGACAGAGCCACATGAATTCCCGTCAGGATGTCCGCGACGAAGCTCGCAAAGCTCGCCAGGCTGCTACTTTGTTTGGAGTGCAGAGTTCCAGGGTGAGAGACTTCGGCACGCTTCGTCAGGAAAAGCTTGATGTGGAGGACCTGGGCACAAGAATGCTCACAGGCAGTATTTGGCTGTGCAGAGACAGGAGAAGCTGGACCAGCACGTCGAGAAGTTCAACAAGAAAAGGGACCAGGCTTTGGGTTCAGATGAAAACCCGGTGGCACGTTTTGGAGTTGGAGCTGTCTCCTGGACGCCGTATATCTTGAAAAAGCCCTAGATCTCAAGATTCAGGCTCATCACAGACACATGCAGGAAGGCAGCCTGTTCTTTGCATAATCAACATAGCGCGCCCCCCCCCCCCCCCCCCC